GGAAAGCTGGTGATTTCCTGGCAGGCTGAATGTTTTGCACAATGAATCCTTTCATTATGCTTCCAGGAACAGGGAGGATGCCGGATCAGCTCGTGATTCTGGATATGAAGCATGGCGTTGAAGCAAAGAACTACGAGGAGGTATGTCCCCTGGCTGCCTGCACTGCAGGCTCTGCTTTCCCAGCACTCACGTGATGCCGTTTGTAGATCTGGGGCTCATGATGGGAAGCTCTTTTCCCAGTGGTGATGAAAGCCTGTCTGCATCCTGCAATTCCAGTGTGTGTTAGGGAAAGGAAAAAAAAGACAAACATCAACCCAAATTAATTCAGTACTCTGGGCACTGGGGCCTGATGTGTGAATTTCTTTGCTAGGACTGCATGACCCAGCTTCTGGGCACAGGCGTTAGAGGCAACAAGAGACTGAGATGTCAGTCCCAGCAGTGCAGTGCGTCTTAGGTTACTATCAGATCCTCCTAAAAGCCAAGTTGTGTTGCTGCTGTTCTTACCTTCCTGACTGTAAGATGTACTAGCTCAACAGCCCTGCAATGGCGCTTGTGCATTTCTAAGAACTGGCAGTGTGTCAGCGTAAAGGTGTTTGGCAGAGGCTGATGTGAACTGAGTATTTAGTTTGAAGGTGTGACATTGCAAATAGGCACAAAGCCTAAACATTTCCATCTTGGGAGGACATAGCTTTGTTAGACCCGAGAGCCAGCTGCATGGAATAGCTGTTGCTTTGTGGCTGGGACAGCCCTGCCTGGTTTGGATGCTGAATGTTGATGGCTGCTACCGTGCTTTCGGCTGACTAGAATTTGGGATCAGTCAACCCCCAGTACAGAATCTGTGCTTGAGAAAATGAAAGTTGTTGGAGAAAGATTCCTGGAAATGATTATTATGTCCACTGCATGCAACAGTATGAGAGGTGCCTTAGGAAGGAGAAGAGAGTGGGTGTCAGGGGAAGTTGTGTATGGTGCCAGTTAGAAAACAGACAGATTTCTGAGATGGGCATGCTGGCATTTTTATAATCGTTTGAGCTTTGGGCTAGCTGATCCTGCATGGCTTAGGTCAGACTAGAGCACAGCCTACGTGTAGAGTGAGAAAGTGCTGGGGATCAGGGAAAAGCACATCAGTCGTTGCTTAAGTCAGTCTAGAGCATATTCTGCGTGGAGAGTGAAAAAGCGCTTGAGGTCAGGGAAGCACTTGGGCCAGCTGTCTGGCAACCAGCTACTGAAGGATTACAGGATGTTGAAATCTTAGGGGATGACCCCTGAGACAGTAACTGGGAGGATTATGGTGACTACATTTACAGGATCTCTTTAAATACAACCTTACAGCATACTCTGCATTTCATTACTGTGGTGCTACCTGGAAGCATTGTCCCTATGCAGAAAGGTTCTCTTAGGTCTGTACATCTATGTACTCACTGGTTGTAGTGATAAAACTGTCTTGGAATAAACGTAAGTATCCGTTAAGCTTCTCAGCATAGTTAGACCAGTGAAAAATGTCCATGGACAGACATGGGAAGATAAGAGTGTAGACTTTCATTCCCATTTTATACCAAATTCAGCTCTTGGCAGCACTGGCAGGCAGCCTTGTCTTGTGAGGACCTCTCAGAGTGGCAGGCTCTGTTCAGCCTTGTTGAGCAGGGTGTCTGCAAAGGACTCACACTGGTTTACTGTTTGTACAGCTGCTACGGATGTTCAGCCACACTGCTCTGCAGCGTGTTTTTGCTTTTTTCATCCTCTCTTTCCCCAGGTTGCTGTAGTGTTTGTGGGTTTTGACCTCACAGGTTGCTGTAAGGCCTCAGTGGAGAGGGCTGTTGCTCAGGTACCTCTCCTTGCTGCCTTTTTGAGCCTTTTGTTTGAGATGTTAATCTGTCCAAAGGTACCAGTGACCTGTCTTCCCCCCTAGTTCTTCTTGTTGAATTGCTGCAAGGAGACTTGGTGCAGGGAGTTGAATGAGGATCACTGATACAGTCCTTGATGTGGATATATGCAGTGAGAGCTGGGGGGATGTCCAAGTCTGGCTTCATAAGCTTTCATAGATCTAGATATTCTTGGAGCAAAGCAACTGAGGGAGGGAGCTGAGTTAGACAACACTGCATGGCGGTGTCATTCCTTAGTTCTCTGGGATAAGGAGGAATAATTTTCTCCATTCAATAAGTAGAAGTGAAAGTAGTGAAAAGACTTTTCAGAGGGCACCAAGAAGGTTTGGCAATCTAGAGTCCCTTCCAGATCAGCTGCTCTTTGTCATTTCTTGGCTATAGCGTGTCTCTTTCTATGCTAGTAAGAGAGTTAGGCTTTGCCAAATTTTTCCATGGCCCCTGAGAAGTGAGTTGTTCTGGTGGTCCAGATGTTCCTTCTGGGATGGTGGTGTTGCACCATCACAGATTCTTGGTGGGCTTTTTACAAAATCTGTTGGAATAGCTGTGCATATTGGCTTTGCTAGGGATGAAAGAGGTTCCAGGATGTGTGTTTTGGTGTACACACAGGACTTAAAGTAGCTATCAGATGTTTCTAGCTACATCTGTTAAGAGCAGCTGAAGGGATGCTGGATGGAGCAGACAAGCCTTGGTTTTTTTCCCCAGTGGAACCTTTGTAGCCTTCTATGAATGAGGAAAAGTGCCCTCCAGGAAGGAAAAGGAGCCAGTCATTGTTGGGTTAGCTTGTCTGTAGAGCTGCCGGAGACCTTTTGGGTGTTAGAGACGTGCTGCTCTAGCTTTGTTAGCATAGTCTGGGCCAAAAGCACACTCACACTGGTGCCAGTTTTTCAGCAAAGCTCTACTGACAGATACGTGTCCAAGCCACTGGGTCTTGTCAGTGCAACTTACTGGCTAGAAAGTGGGAGGGGTTTAACCCGTTTCCTACCCCTCCTCACGAACACACTCTGAATTGATACTGCTGTGCTGGCAGAGCTGTGGTATACAGCTCACCTCAGCACAAAAATCCTCAGATGACTGCTTGGTGGTCTGCAGCTTTCCAGGATGCACGTGTCATGTGAAGGACCCTTCAGTGAAGTGGCTCATTAGCCAGCACTGGCCTTGTCACAGGCATCTCTACAGATGGGCTCTGACACGCAGGCAGCTGCCCCTGGAAGTGGTGTTTTGGGGATGCCTGCACCCTGGGCTTCCCTGTTGCCTGCCTGTTGGCACCTGGACCGCTGAGGGATGCTGTCCTGCATGTCCTTACTATGTCAGTAATCCTGTGTGGCAGTGAGACTGGTGCTGAGCTGCAGGTGCTTCAGGTGTTTTCTGCAGGTTTCTGTAGCGCATCTTCCTTGTGCTGCATCACTCGGGGAGGTGGCATCTGGCCTTTGTGGCAGGGGCCTGTCACTTGATGGTGATAGTGACAAACCCTGTGCAAGAACCAGGGTTACCCAAACGCTGTGCTGCAGCAGTGGCAGGAATTGCAGTTAGCTTCCTTTGAGTAATGTCCTTGTGTCACACATTTTGGATAACGTGCAGTCAGGTTACAGCCAGGGCTGGGGCAGGGACACGTGTTTACACATTCAGCTTCAAAGAGTTGCTGTTGTGGACTGTGCTTTCTAATTGAATTTCCTGTGGATTTTTCTTTTGGGGTACAAGTCTGTGTCTTGTAGGACTCTGTGTTGCGTGTTCTGCACAGAAGCGCCAGCTTTTACGAGGGAAATGTATTTTTCTGGGAAATGCATTTTTCTTTCAAGCGGGCTCAAAGGCCGCCAGTCCCGGCAGTGCAGCAGCAGCGCCCCCTGGTGGCTGGAGGCCGGGGGGGGACCCCCGGGCCGCGTGTGTGCGGTGTCCTTGGCGTTGTCAGTCCGAGGGGTGAAAGCCCTTGTGGGTCTGCTCGAAACACTGCTACCGGGAATCGGGCTGCCCGGGCTGCCCGGGCTTCCCGGGGGCTGTGGCAACGGTTGGCAAAGCGAGTCTGGGTGCCGATACCCCGTGTGCCGACGGAACGGTGTCGTGTGCATATGTAAGTTAGTCACCTGTGTGCCAGCCTGTTACTTCTGTTCACTGGAGGTTTAGTCATGTGGCAAGCTCTTCTACCCGCTCCTCAGAAGCCAACTGTGAATAAGCTAACATGAGGCTGAATAAGGAAGAAATGTACTTGTGTGCATACTGTGCTCCTCCGCTGTGTAGGAGGGGTAGTAGGAAAGTGTGTTTCAGAGAACAGGTGGGAGAAGTGATGGTGTTTTATGCAATGGTAGTTTCTGGCTTGTAGAGGTGTTTCCCTAGGGGAAGGATGCCCCAGATCTGTAGTATGTGAGGAGGAGTGGTTCAAACTGGCAGCAAAAACTCACATGGGAGCTTTTGGTTCTGGCTCAATGATTGCCTGTCTCTCCTGTTTTCTAGCTTGCAAAAGTGGAAAAGTTGAAGCCTCTGGAAGTAGAATTGAGGCGCCTGGAAGATCTTTCAGAATCCATTGTTAACGACTTTGCCTATATGAAGAAACGAGAAGAGGAGATGAGGGACACGAATGGTAAGAGACTGTGTGCTCCTTCAGAGGGACAGAGCTCTAAGACCACTTCTGCTGAATTGTTACTAGGTTACTAGGACAGTGTGTGCATGTGGAGATCAAGCACTTCTAGTGGTCTCTGTCTGTTCTGTTCCTAGTAAGGGAAACCTGCTGATACTTGTCTCTCTCTGAGGCAGTCGCTGAGTCTTGTGTGTCGCATCTCTAGAAATACCTTTTTTGTGTGTCCATTCCTAATGTGAATTACCTGAACCATTTAATGTTGCCCATTAAGCACAGTTTCACCTTGTTCCCTCTAATTAATCCTTCTCCTTGTTCCCTGTGCTTTTGTTCTCAAGTACTGCAGGTGCTTGGGTGCCCTTGCCTTCAGAGAATGGTTTGGGTTGGAAGGGACCTTAAAGATCATGTAGTTCTAACCCCCTGCCATGGGGGTTGCCTTTCAAGTTTCGAAGGGGTGGGGAGATAAAACTCTGGGAACTTTGCCCTCCTGAGGTGCATCCTGTGATGTCAGACTCCTGTGCAATGGTTTGTTCTCTGTTTCAGAGTCAACGAACATCCGAGTTCTCTACTTCAGCGTTTTCTCCATGTGCTGTCTCATTGGACTGGCCACCTGGCAGGTTTTCTACCTGCGTCGCTTCTTCAAGGCCAAAAAACTGATTGAGTAAAGGAGCAAGTCCTCCTCCCCCTCCTCTCAGACCCATCTGGACACTGCTGGGACGCAGCCGTGGTCTCCTGGAGCCATCTCACAGATGATACCCACTGACTGGAGCTTTTCTGCAGGAACTTGGACCCTAAAGGGGGAGGGGAGCCTAAACATTGGAGGCAACGGGGGACTTGTGAAATCCTGTTGGATGTAGAGGGTGGGGGAGGTTGCAATGGGTTTGGGGATTCCCGGGGCAGTGATTAAATAATAATAAAAAAAAAAATGATGTTTCCATGACAGCCACAGCAATTTTTTAAGCGCTGTCTGTTCTCCTGTTATAATCTTGGCTTGATGATGTCTCCCATCTGTCTGTGACTGTAGCATTACTCTGAGCCACTCGACCCTGCTGAGCTCTCTGGGTGCCGTGCAGGTGGCAGTGGGGCAGAGCAGGGGAACCTCTGCTCTCACCAGCTGGCATCGAAGCCTTGTGCAAACGGAGGTGAGTGCAAAGTAACAGGATTCATCATCCCAGCAGGGCCTGAGGATAGGAGGAGGTCCAAGGTTTGGTCCTAGTCGTGGACCTCTGTGTTTCTCCCTGTGGGAGCTGGTGTCTTTGTGCTAACAGGTCAGGGCTCTCGAGTGTACGGTGGTTCAGCCTGGAGGAAGGGGAGTTTTGGAAGGAGGGCTTGGGGACGTGTTTGAGCTCAGAAAGGAGAAGCCTGCTTTGCTCAAATAAGCTGTTCAGCCTTGGTCCTGCCCTTGCTCCACATGTTTGTCTTGGATTTGCCTCTCTTGTTCTGAAATGGCAACTTTTTCCTCAGAGCCTTGATCAGGGACAGCCTTTCGTGCAGACAGGAGGCCTTAGTCAGATACAGTCACAGAGCAGATAAGAGCAGGTTATGCTTGGAAACTTGGTCTTGCATTGAGCAGGAGACTTTTCTCATCTAACAGTGTAGCATTACCGAGCAGGCAGCTGGCTGAATCATTTTCTGAGACCTCAAAGTGAGGTGAGCTGCTGCTCGCGTGAAGCGTTGACAGTCTGTGCCCTGCTTGGAGGTCTGAGGGTGCAAGGAGAGAGTTTTGCAGGTTCGCAGAGGAGTTACTGGAAGAGTGTGGATGAACTCAGAAAAGCAGTGCAAGGTAGGAATAGGCTAATTCTACATCTGGGGAAGTCTGAACTGTGCCCTTAACAGAATTGTTATTCTCCTGTGCGGTACTACAGAGAGAGCAAGCGGATTCTCGTCGTTTCTCAGCTGTCCAGATGGCCAGGCTGGGATAAAACAGACAGGTTAACTTCCCAGATTTAGCTGCCGCAGTTTTTAGGCGGTGATTAAAATTATTTCACCATAGGCTAATTCTACATCTGGGGAAGTCTGAACTGTGCCCTTAACAGAATTGTTATTCTCCTGTGCGGTACTACAGAGAGAGCAAGCGGATTCTCGTCGTTTCTCAGCTGTCCAGATGGCCAGGCTGGGATAAAACAGACAGGTTAACTTCCCAGATTTAGCTGCCGCAGTTTTTAGGCGGTGATTAAAATTATTTCACCTTCTCTTCATTCCTTCAAAGCGAGTGGTTCATAGCAGCACAGCATTCTGTCACATCATGTGCCTAAACAGTTCTGGCAAGGAAAAGGGTTGTCATGGCCATGGGCCTGGGCTGCCTTTTTTGGGGGAAAAAAAGCTCATAGTTTTATAATTTTTTGACCTGAATCTGATCTATTGTTGGGAATGAAATGGTTATCCAGGGTGAAGCAATGGGAAGGAGAGTGAAAAGATGACCTCCTGTTGTCTAAATACATGAGTACTTTGACTCCCTTTTGCCATTGCTGAGTTCCTGGAGTTGTTGGTTCCACTGGCAAGTGCTTAGATTGCTTTTAATTGGTTTCTTTTTTGGTAAAGCCATATTAAGAACCCAAGTCCGCTTCTGCCCTTGCATCCATTTTATCCTTGTACATTTTTGAAAGCTGGTACAGTGCAGAACAGCCACGGGACTGAATTACGGAAGTCATTTGAAGGTAATTTTAGGTCTTACAGTTTGAAGCCTGTAGATCTGTTAAGGTTTTGCTTTTGTTTTTATATAACTTGAAAAGACAGTACAAGAGAGGGGCATTTCCAGTCTTGTCTGTTTTGATATCCTCTCCCCATCCTTATCTAAGTACAAAGATGTCTTTACCTTAAAAATGTGGCGAGGCCTTAAGTTCCCCAGGTGACTGTTACACTGTCATCATTCTGGTGTTGCATTTTGATTTCACTGTACTGCTGTGGTTACTGGGGAGCTGGTGTGGGGGGCCTGGTATGGATTTATCTGTAATGGCTGGTTGGGGGATTTTTGTCAACTTTCTCAAATAAAATTTCTTTGGGGAAAACCAACCCACCTTAATTGTCTGTGTGAGTCTTGTCCTCTTTGTGCAC